GGGCGCTGACCCGCCTGCCCGCCGCAGACCCCTGCCAGAACCACCACTGCAAGCACGGCAAGGTGTGCGAGCTGGATGAGCGCAACATGCCCCTGTGCGTGTGCCGGGACCCCAGCAGCTGCCCCCCGCCCGCCGGCGAGTTTGAGAAGGTGAGCGCGGGGCGGCTCCGGACCTCTGCGCCCGGTCCGCTCGGAGAAGCTGCGGGCGGGGCCGGGAGCCGAGCGCGGGGCCACAGGGGCCGGGTCCACCCGGGTCGGGGCGGCCGGAGGCGGCAGGGCGCTGACCCGCCTGCCCGCCGCAGACCCCTGCCAGAACCACCACTGCAAGCACGGCAAGGTGTGCGAGCTGGACGAGCGCAACATGCCCCTGTGCGTGTGCCGGGACCCCAGCAGCTGCCCCGCGCCCGCCGGCGAGTTTGAGAAGGTGAGCGCGGGGCGGCTCCGGAGAAGCTGCGGGCGGGGCCGGGAGCCGAGCGCGGGGCCACAGGGGCCGGGTCCACCCGGGTCGGGGCCACCCAGGTCAGGTCTGCACAGATCCGGTCCACAGGGGCTGGGTCCACCCGGGTCGGGGCCACAGGGGCCGGGAGCCAAGCGCGGGTCCACAGGGGCTGGGGCCACAGGGGCCGGGTCCACCCTGGTCGGGTCCACAGGGGCTGGGTCCACTCGGGTCGGGTCCACATGGGCCGGAAGCCGAGTGCGGGTCCACAGGGGCCGGGTCCACCTGGGTCAGGTCCACATGGGCTGGGGCCACACGGGCCGGGGCCACACAGGTCCAGTCCACACGGGCCGGGGCCACAGGGGCCGTGTCCGCACGGGTCGAACCCGAGGCGGCAAACCTCCAGCTCAGTGGCCGCCGCACTCGCCGGCCAGCGGCAGGGGCGTGGCTCCGCCCGGGCTGTGCGGCGCTGGCGCCGACTCCGACAGCACTCACCCCGGCATCTCGCAGCCCCACTGGTCACCGTCCTCCAGCCGCCACCCCGCCAGCCACCCGTGTCACCACAAGGCCACACGCGCAGTCGTCCATCCACCTTCCCCCGTCATCCACCCGCCCGCCCGCCCACGCACCCGTCAGTCGTGTCTCCCGCACCCTGCACCCACGGTCCGCCCCCCCGCGCCCCTGCAGGCTGCTGTGCTCTCGCCCCCGCGGGGGCAACACCCCGGCCAGCGTCTTTCCACAGTCCGCCACCCGGACTGCCCAAGACCTTATCCCTGGGGTGCACATTTTGGCATCCCTGTGGGGCTCCCGGCCAGTGCCTGGGGGCTCCGTCTGTGGTGACACACGGCGCAGCACTCTGGACTCGGCCCCAGGCCCCCCGCGCCCCCAGTGCCCGAGGGCACCTCCCGCACACACCTGAGGGCCGCTGACCGGTCAGGGCGCAAGCCGGGGGGCGCAGCGCTGCTCTCTGCACTGGGCTCGCGTCAGCGGGGCTCCTGCCCGGCCGCCCCTAGACTCGGCACCCACAGTGTTGGGGGGCTGGTCGGTGGGCACCCCGCCTGGCGCGCACCCCAGTGCCAGACTTCCAGCAGGAAAGCCCGCGTCCGGCGTGCCCAGGGTGCGGGTAAACCGCCCAGGCATGGGGCCCCTTTGTCACGGGTGGGGCCTTTTAAGGGGGCGCAGGGCCCCCGCCCAGCGGAGCCTGCACGCAGCCTGGGCCCC